TTTTGCACCTTATACAATATCTGAGACACCGTAGCAGTCAGGGGGGGTGAGCTGCCGGGGTGCATACCTTGGTTGTAGCTCTGGTTGTGGAGGGCCGAGGCGATCCCTGACATTATCNTGGCTACCTTAAGAACTTCTCATTTTGCACCTTATACAATATCTGAGACACCGTAGCAGTCAGGGGGGGTGAGCTGCCGGGGTGCATACCTTGGTTGTAGCTCTGGTTGTGGAGGGTCGAGGTGATCCCTGACATTATTNGGTCTGTTTTCATCCGGGGTGGCTACCTTAAGAACTTCTCATTTTGCACCTTATACAATATCTGAGACACCGTAGCAGTCAGGGGGGGTGAGCTGCCGGGGTGCATACCTTGGTTGTAGCTCTGGTTGTGGAGGGCCGAGGCGATCCCTGACATTATCTCTTCTCTTCGGGGAGCGCTCTCTGTCTCTTTTTGGAGACCTGTCTCGTTCTCTTTTCTTTCTGGGACTTTGTTTTCACTTCTTTTCTTCCTTCCCTTTCTCCTTTCTCGATGAAGGGCTCCCGACCTTGGAGAGGAGCGCTTCCTTACCATTTATGTACTTTTCTACTTTGNTTCTTCTCTTCGGGGAGCGCTCTCTGTCTCTTTTTGGAGACCTGTCTCGTTCTCTTTTCTTTCTGGGACTTTGTTTTCACTTCTTTTCTTCCTTCCCTTTCTCCTTTCTCGATGAAGGGCTCCCGACCTTGGAGAGGAGCACTTCCTTACCATTTATGTACTTTTCTACTTTGGCAAGCACCTCCGTCATACTAGCCTGGGGGTTCTTTGAGATGGAAAATATCAGATCTTTTGACTGAACTCCCAGACCTGCTATGAAGGCTGTAATAGAAAATTTTTCATCTGGGATATCCACCTTCAAAGATTCTAAGTTGAATCGTTTGACATAAGACCATAGGTTCTCATCAGGTCACTATTTCACATTTAACAAATTGTAGCTTGGTTTTCTATAGGTTCGAGCTCCGATGAAGTGAGACACAAACGAGATTGACAACTCTTTAAAAGAGAAAATCGAGGCTGAGGGGAGTCTGTTGAACCATGCTAAGGCTGAGCCCTTTAGGGTGATAGCAAAGACCCTACATCTCACTGGATCTTGATATCCATGCAACTCCTTTGATTTTTGTAGGTGTTGAGGTAGTCCATNTGAGCCCTTCAGGGTGATAGCAAAGGCCCTACATCTCACTGGATCTTGATATTCATGCAACTCCATTTAGTTTTTGTAGGTGTTGAGGTGGTCTATGGGATCTTTTGTCCCATCGAAAGTATCCACCTGCGACATTCTGAATTTAGGTGGGAGAGGAAAGTGCAGCACCCCAACAGTGAATGGGGATTCGGTTTGCTGCAGCAAGGCATCCATATTGACTGGGACCTTGCACTTCACTGCCTCCTTCATTTGGCTGAGCTCTTGTTGGATGTCTTTGAAACGTTGCTCCCAGTGATGTTCTCTTTTCTCCTGTTGATAAGGGAAGAAGTCGCTCTTCTCCCCCTTTCTTATACTGACTTTGCACTTGCTCATTGTGACCATTCTTAGGGGACAGACAAGGTTCTTGCCCTAAGGTCTAGCTATTCTCTCCCACCTCATTAACTTCTATGAGGGGGTCGAGATATGGTTGCTCCCTTGGTGGTGCATTATTCTGGCCTCCTTGGGCCGATCGCGCTTCTTGTGGGTGTTGTAGGAGCTTTAAGAGCTCTTCGTTCTATTTTATCAGACGTTCATTGACAAGACAAAGGACCTCCTTCTTGTTATTCATGGGAAGGCCCCCCATGGAGGGATCAGCTTCTTGCGCGTTTTCTGGTTGTCTGTTATTTGCGACTTCCTGTTGATCTTGCATCCGTAGAGGATTAGTTTGACATCGGCTCATGTTTCATGTTGATATCATCAGTCACTGAAAAATTAGCTTTATTTATAACAGGAACAGTCGTTCCCACAGACGGTGCCAAACTGATGGCGTTAACACACTTTTACAAAAGATGAGCTGGGATTACGTTAGGTTGTTAAGATGATGCCATAATATTCAGGGTTTTGGAAGTTAAGACAATAGAATTATAGTGGTTCACCAGCTTGGGAGCTCGACTAGTCCACTCTGGAATAGAGGCTCTTGCTCCTTTTTTTTATTCACAGTGATTACAAGGTTGCTATGACTTCTTTTTGTCACTCGGGTCTTTTTTTTCTGTTAAGGGGTGTTACCTTGCATTTATAAGGTCATTCTCTACTAAGAAGGATCTTAGCCGAGATTCTTACCCTTNCCAAAATTTAATTACAAGTCTAATTTTACAAAAGAAATGGATTGAAAGCCACAAGTCGGTTTTTCTTCCTCCTTAAGTGTCCGAGTAAGTGCCGTCCCTCGGCGTATAACCCGTACCTGAAATGTTTTCCGTATAGGGTGAGCCAATGCCCAGTAGAGAAAAACTCTNGTTACCTTGCATTTATAAGGTCATTCTCTACTAAGAAGGATCTTAGCCGAGATTCTTACCCTTATTTCGTGAGCTTCTCCTTAATTCTAGGAAAAAATCTTGGTTGGTTAAGATTGGGTGCCTTGACTACAGCTTCCTAACGGTTTAGGATCCTCTCGTGGTTATCCAGCTGTTATCTTGCCTTAAGAGACACTCGGCCCTTACCCTCTGACCTCTGCTAATGTGCCTGACCTCCTGGTCCGAGCTGACCTCCTGAACTTAGCACTTGAAATTTATTTTAGGTATCATCAAATGTCATAACCAAGAAAGCAGTAGAGACGAGAATGAGGTTCAAGTTTTGTACGCTCATGAGGTGGGAGTAAGACAAAACAAACACAACTAAAAACTTTTAAAAGAGAATAATTGGGTAACTTTCCATAGAGTAGTTCATATGGAGATCGATTAAAAATAGGAGAAGATAAAATCCGATTGATATTTTAAGCAACAGAAAGGTCGGCTTATCCCCAAAAAGATTATGGGAAAGAGGCAGAGAGAACGAACAGTGTCAAGAGTGTGATAATACTTACGTTCTACACAACAATTCTATTGAGAGGTGTAAGGACACGATCAATGAGACAAGGTGCTTGTCTGTTGGAGTTCTTCAATGAATGAGGAAGCCTTATATTCCATGGCAGTATTGGAACGAAAGATTTTAATAGTGCAATCAAACTGAGTTTTTATCAATTGCTTAAAATCATGAAAGATATTAAGTAACTCAGAGCAATCATGTAAAAGATAAATCCATGCGTATCATGAATAATTATCAATAAAAATTACAAAATAATGAGACCCACCCTTAGTAAAGATAGGGGCAGATCCTCAAATATTATAATGAACAAAATCAAAAGGTGCAGAAGATAAATAATCACTTCTACTAAAAGGTAAAACTTTCTGTTTGCCCAATTGACAAGACATACAATCAAACGATTCAAATTTAACGTCTCCTAAGCAACCACTGTGACACCCCAAAATCCGGGGGTCCGTTGATTACTCATCAACCCGCGGAATACCCGTGGATATCGAGTAACTCGATATCTCAACGTTATGCCCCATTTACCGGGGTCCATCTTTTATTAAAAATTTGTGCAGAATCTCCTTTGTAAGGAGAACTCTACTCAAAACACAACCTGTGCATTATATAATAACAAGACTCATTCGAGGTCTTATATTCAACAATGACCACACCGGATCCATTTATAAGTAAACATTGGCCACACCGGGTTCAATTATCCATATTCATACAAACATGCAAGATTATATTAAAACAGTCGATATAGATTCTATCACAATTCCTTTACACATTACATGCCAAAATTTAATTACAAGTCTAATTTTACAAAAGAAATGGATTGAAAGCCACAAGTCGGTTTTTCNCAGTCCCTAATTAGTGCACAAAATAGCCCTTAATTAGTGCACAAAATAGCCCCAATTTCAGCACTAAAACAGTCCATTTGGACAGTCCTTGGACAACCCACATATAAACCAATTTCAGCCACTAAAAGCCCACTTAAGGTAAGAATAAAACCAAGGTAGGAGAGAACCCTACCTCAATAGAAGTGTAAGAACTTCTATAACACCAAATCAACCTTAAAGCTTTGATTTTTTCCAAAGTCTCCTCTTGGATCTTCGGTGAAATCCACTCTTTTTGGTATGCACGCGTAGCTCTCGTCGAGGAGATGAACTTTGACTCTTGGTCCGAGTTGATCCGAGCGACGGAACTCCGATAATCGGCAAATGAGGATTTGTTTTCTCCCTTTTTCTCTCCCTCTTGCTCTCACACGTTGGAACCAGCTGAAATGCAGAGATCCTTCAGCAAAATATCTGATTTAGCCCCTATTTATACTTTCCAATACTTGGCCCGAGTCGCGCCACGTGTCCCTCACTGATTCGGGTTCGTTTTTGCCCCGAAACGATTTATTTTGTACCGGTTTAAGCTCAAAATATTTTATATAAACTTTATTTAAAATATTTTTCAACTTTCAAAATTTTTATTAAAATTTCATTTTTGGGGGTCACCGGACGCCCCTTGCCTCAAAAAATGCAAAAAACTCGACTATTTCGAAATTCAACGAAAATTGATAGGGCAGCTAGGTTTCGCGATGCGAATCCAATAGTGAGGTCTATTGTCCCATCCGAGCTCTATAAAAATATGTATTTTAAATACGCATTAGGATGACAAATTATCATTTTACCCTTTTTTTCAGAAAAAATTTAAATTTTTTCCGGGTTTCACAAACACTAGAAGCTAAAGATTGGACATGAGGTGAGGTAAAGATGCATGACTTAGACAAGAATGCCAAATACTAGAAGAAACTATAGTAGTAAGAGGTTGAATAGAACATGAGTTAGGCCTATGCAAATATGTAAGCTCAAAAAAGCGACCAACTTTACGCCCAGTCCAAACGAGCTGACCCATCTTCTGATCCTACATATACCCTTTCTGAGAAAAGGTTAAGATAAGACCACCTTTAACAAGTTGCCCAATAGAAAAAAGATTAAGAGATAAGTTAGAAACAACATGTGTCAGGTACAAGAAGAATAGAGATAGAAATAGGACCAACATGAGTAACAGACATGTGTGAACCATTAGGAGTAGCCAAATGAAACATAGAGTTTAAAGACTTTTTCTAAGACACTAGGAAATAATCAAATGTCATATGATTGCAATAGGTTGAATCGATAAACCAAGAAAAAGATTTACCTGAGGAAACTAATAAGGCAGGAGAAGAACGAGATAGAAATTTGGTTACAAATGCCTTAAGGTTAGTTGTAGTAAGGGAAGACAAAGAAGTTTCTGCAGTAGGAATGACTAGAGTAGAGCAACTAGATAGTGTAGTGGCCATGACCAAATTAGCTGATGGACCTGGCGAGTTTAAAACGAGCACAAAAAAATTGGTCAGGACAAATCAAAATGTCACTAGAGGGTCGCCGGAAAGTTGTCGGAGGATAGTTGGAGATCTCCAGAAAATGGCCAGGAGGCGATCGAAACGTCATAGGAGGATGACCAAAAAGTCGTCGAAGGCTAGCTAGGGCAGATCAAAATGGTGTTGGATGATGGCTGGAACAAATCGGAACTTCGCTAGAGGATGACTGGAAGGTCGCCGGAGCAAGTCAGAACTTCATTAAAGGATGGCCANTCGTCGAAGGCTAGCTAGGGCAGATCAAAATGGTGTTGGATGATGGCTGGAACAAATTGGAACTTCGCTAGAGGATGACTGGAAGGTCGCCGGAGCAAGTCAGAACTTCATTAAAGGATGGCCGGATGATTGTCGAAGCAGATCAGAACTTTGCCGGAGGATGGCCAGAAGAGGAAGAACCTTAAGAGTTCTAATGTGGAGGATCTTTCGTAGGACAACCACTGAGTATACAATCTTTGACTAGAAGAATTCACGAGCCTAAGCACTGATACCATGTGAAAGAAAATAATAGAAAATGAATATCAATTGTATATTATTTTAGTGTACATTTCCATATACATAAGGAAGTATATTTAAAGTACAAAAGAACAGAAAATATCTTAGTTTAACCGATGTGAAACAAATATTAAACACATACACATTAACATACACTATTTGTTAGCANTAATAGAAAATGAATATCAATTGTATATTATTTTAGTGTACATTTCCATATACATAAGGAAGTATATTTAAAGTACAAAAGAACATAAAATATCTTAGTTTAACCGATGTGAAACAAATATTAAACACATACACATTAACATACACTATTTGTTAGCGTGAATTATATACAAATCGTATTAATATCAAATAAAAATAATTCAATTTTGATGCCACAAACTTGACATTTGCTTTAATACCTAAAACATGGACTTGAATCCACTCCTTTTTTCATCATAACTTTTTCTCTCTTTTCACCAAGAAACAACCATTACTTATTTCATAGTAACTCAATTATTTTATATATAAATAAATTAAATTTTGTGAATTTAAACTCAAAATCAATCAAAAATGAGTATAAAAATTTGTTTGAACTTGACTCATTTTTTAAATAAATAAGTTCAAAATAAGTCAAATGTTAGCCTAACTCGAATAATTTACCATTCTACTCATTTGTCTCCTGTAAACTAGAATATTGCAATTAGGGTAATTTACACTTTTAAAAATTAATTTTTTAATATTTTATTTTTAAGGTATCAAAATTATTATAATGTGATTTTTTTTGTTAAATTTTGTTATTTTTTTTTTAGTATTAATAGATTGATTTTTTGCAAAAAAACAAAAATTAAGAGAAAAGTTACGTTATAATATTTTTAATATATTGAAGTGTAATATAAAAAATTTAATTGTTATGAATATAAAATAAAAACCTTTAAGGTACAAAATGCAAAATGCCCTTCCAAATAATTCATCAGTATCATATATCATAAACAAACAAATCGCCGCAATTAACAGTACAGCACTTGCCTACTCCTCCACACAACATTCAGTGAACTCGCGGAAAAAAATGGTGAAATCCAACCGCAAAACTCCATCATCAATGGACCCAAACAGTGGTTTCTGCTCAGAAACAAAAATTTATCACAGTCTCAGACCCCAAGTTCCACTGCCTCCAGAAACCACCCCTCTCTCAATCACTGACTATGCCTTCTCTCTCCTCCGTCAAGCCTCCACCACCATCTCCGGCGCAAAATTCATCGACGTCACCACCCACGAATGCATCCCCAGTTCTGAACTTGAAATTCGCACTAAAACCTTAGCTTTCTCGCTGCAACACCATGTTGGACTCTGCAAAGGCGACTGTGCCTTCGTTCTCTCTCCAAACTCTGTACATATCCCCATTCTCTACCTCTCTCTCCTGTCGCTTGGCGTAATAGTTTCTCCTTCCAATCCAGCAAGCTCAAAAACCGAGATTTCTCGCCAAATCCAGATCTGTAAACCAGTCATCGCCTTTGTCACCTCCGACACCGCTCACAAGGTCGCCTCACTCCGGTACCGCACAATTTTCCTCGACTCGCCCGAGTTCGAATCAATGACGAAGAGTCGAACTGAAACTTCTCCCCAAAAAATCGAAGTTTTTCCATATGATGTCGCGGCAATTATGTTTTCGTCAGGAACTACCGGAAAAACCAAAGGCGTGATACTTACTCACCGGAACTTCATGGCAATGTTGGCCGGAGTGCATGCGATTCGTCCGATTAGATCGTCTACGGCTGTGATGCTTTGTACTGTTCCATACTTTCATGTCTACGGATTCACTAACTGCGTGAGAGCGGCGTCAATGGGTGAGATTTTGGTGTCAATGAAGAGATTTGATCTCCGGCTGATGATGAAAGCGATCGAAGAGTTTAGGATTACGCATGTCGCGTTGGCTCCGCCGGTGATCGTAGCTCTGGTGAACAGTGGCGATTTGGTGAACAACTACGATCTGAGCTCTTTGGAGGCTGTGCACAGTGGCGGAGCTCCGCTATCAGAGGCTGTGATTGAGAGGTTTAAGAGCAAGTTTCCCAACGTGTCGCTGGGGCAGGTTAGTGTTCCATAGGCCGTCGATAGATGGAATCTTGATTAGAATTCTGAGTATAAATGAATATTTGTAACTAATTATTTAAATTGGAGTACAAATCAATAATTTTATATATTTCACAGATTTAGATATATCAATATGAGGCATTAGGATTCAAGCCAAATTATATGTACACACTTGAAAAAACTGATTAATAATTTTATAAAATATGATGATTTTATAATAATTTTATAAATTTGTGGATAAAATATATTTTGGTCCTCAAAGTATATATTTTGTGTCTATTTGGTCACTAATCTTTCAATTGTGTCTATTTGATCCCTAAAATTTTTAATTTATATTTAAGTGGTCCAATCCCAAACGTTGTCAGAAAATTGTTGACGGTTTGTCACGCACAACTATTTGGTCCCTAAAGTTTCTAATTTATGTCTATTTGGTCTCTAAAATGCCTAATTTGTGTCTATTTGATCTAACGTGATTGGCTAGTGGTTAGAGCCTTTAATGATTTTTTTACAAACGTTTTGGATTGGACTATGTAGATACAAATTAAAAAATTTAGGAATCAAATAAACACAATTGAAAGATTGGAGATTAAATAATCATTATATGCATACTTCCGAACTAAAAGTGTATTTTACCCCAAATTTATCATTGATAATTTTTTTTTTTGATAAGAAATGATCAACTATATAATATTAAAGATGGAAATCATATCGAAATGCAGCACCCAAAAAGACGGGCATTTACTCCTCTCCATAGAACACAATCTATTATACTTATAGCCTATGAAGTACGGATACTTCAAAAGGGTCAAAGTATCTGTATCGGATACTTTTGGATACGGATATGTACCGGATACGTCTGAGAAGTATCCTAAAATTAAAAAAAAAATTGATTTTCGGATACAGTTGGATACGTTTTGGATACGCGTGGGATACGCCTAGGATACGCATAAGGATACGGCGGGGTATTACTCGAATTTTAAAAAAGTATAGGGGCACAAGAGCAATATATTTAGGCCCTTATTTGCAAAAAAAAATAAAATTTTTGAACTAAAAGTCTAAAAGACTAAAACCTGTACACTTTTCTTCCACAGCCCGTCAAGCCCCCCACTCCCTTCAGTCGATACTTGACGACGATCGTCTCTCTCTCTCTCTCACTCACTCACTCATACTGACGATCGACTGACTCTGATGGTTAGTTATTATTATATATCTTTGATAGAAGTGTGATTTACTTTATAAATCATAATTATTACATTAAATATAATAATAAAATTTTAAAAAATATATATTTTATGGACGTATCCTAGCTGTACCCGTATCCTATTTTTTTTTTTTTGTCGTATCCTCGTACCCGTATCGTATCCGTATCCCGTATCCCGTATCCGTATCCATATCNAAATATATATTTTATGGACGTATCCTAGCTGTACCCGTATCCTATTTTTTTTTTTTTTGTCGTATCCCCGTACCCGTATCGTATCCGTATCCCGTATCCCGTATCCCGTATCCGTATCCATATCCGTACTTCATAGCTTGTAGCATATCTAGCTACTGTGTGAGTTATCTTATTGCCAGCTCTACGAACTCAAGAACAATCAAAATAACTGAAATTGTCAACTGACACATGAATCCTACTAATAAAATGTCCAATCTCGTTAAGGATCTCTTGTTAACATCGAATAAGATTTGATGATACATGAAAAAGATTTTGACTAAGTATGAGTTCGGAAAGGGAGGTCTGATAGAGAGGTCAGCTAAGGTACCTAGAGATTAGAGGCCCAGACTTCAAGCTCCGTTCGGGTGAAAGACTCGAGGAAATTAGAAAGGAACAGCTGGTTATCAGGAGGAATCTCCAATATAACGGAAAGCAGAGATTAAGGCACGAAACTCTCTACCACCCGAGATCTTCTCTCTCAAATTAAGGGAATTTTCGCAGATGAAGGGCAGGTATCTCGCTGTAGATCTCTTAGATATAGGAGTTGAACTATAAATACAAAAAAAGGGCCTTTATAGAGGGGGAAAGCCAAATTGTATAAGAAATACTTTGTAACTTACAACCAATAATAATAGATAGATCTAAGGAGCAAGAGACTCGCTTCAAGATTAACTGAGCTCTCGACATCGATGAATCACTATACTTTCACTTCGTTAATCATTTTAACTTCCAAATAATCTCTCCGTTCTACACTTTCTGTTCATCTATGTGATTATACCATCAGTTTGGTGCTGTCCGTGAGAACGATTGTTCCTATTACAAGTATTCTGATTCTTCAGTGATTGATGGTCTCAACACGCAACATGAGCAAAAATCAAATGAATCCCCCACAGATCCAAAATCAACAAGAAGCCACTAACGGTGAGCAACACGAAATCCCTTAGAATTTCGTCCCTGCCGTTGAAATCGATCCCTCGACGAATAATGAATTGGAGGCCCTTTGCCTAGTAAACCAGCGCTTGCTTCAACAGAACGAAGAGCTCATGAAGCTCATGCAAGGTCCTCAGCAGACCAAACCAACCTAAGGGGGTCTTCTGTAGGGAGAGCATCGGCATCTCGACCCCCTTAAAGAAGTCAACGAAGGGAGAGANTATTTTTTTTTTTTTGTCGTATCCTCGTACCCGTATCGTATCCGTATCCCGTATCCCGTATCCGTATCCATATCCGTACTTCATAGCTTGTAGCATATCTAGCTACTGTGTGAGTTATCTTATTGCCAGCTCTACGAACTCAAGAACAATCAAAATAACTGAAATTGTCAACTGACACATGAATCCTACTAATAAAATGTCCAATCTCGTTAAGGATCTCTTGTTAACATCGAATAAGATTTGATGATACATGAAAAAGATTTTGACTAAGTATGAGTTCGGAAAGGGAGGTCTGATAGAGAGGTCAGCTAAGGTACCTAGAGATTAGAGGCCCAGACTTCAAGCTCCGTTCGGGTGAAAGACTCGAGGAAATTAGAAAGGAACAGCTGGTTATCAGGAGGAATCTCCAATATAACGGAAAGCAGAGATTAAGGCACGAAACTCTCTACCACCCGAGATCTTCTCTCTCAAATTAAGGGAATTTTCGCAGATGAAGGGCAGGTATCTCGCTGTAGATCTCTTAGATATAGGAGTTGAACTATAAATACAAAAAAAGGGCCTTTATAGAGGGGGAAAGCCAAATTGTATAAGAAATACTTTGTAACTTACAACCAATAATAATAGATAGATCTAAGGAGCAAGAGACTCGCTTCAAGATTAACTGAGCTCTCGACATCGATGAATCACTATACTTTCACTTCGTTAATCATTTTAACTTCCAAATAATCTCTCCGTTCTACACTTTCTGTTCATCTATGTGATTATACCATCAGTTTGGTGCTGTCCGTGAGAACGATTGTTCCTATTACAAGTATTCTGATTCTTCAGTGATTGATGGTCTCAACACGCAACATGAGCAAAAATCAAATGAATCCCCCACAAATCCAAAATCAACAAGAAGCCACTAACGGTGAGCAACACGAAATCCCTTAGAATTTCGTCCCTGCCGTTGAAATCGATCCCTCGACGAATAATGAATTGGAGGCCCTTTGCCTAGTAAACCAGCGCTTGCTTCAACAGAACGAAGAGCTCATGAAGCTCATGCAAGGTCCTCAGCAGACCAAACCAACCTAAGGGGGTCTTCTGTAGGGAGAGCATCGGCATCTCGACCCCCTTAAAGAAGTCAACGAAGGGAGAGAGAATAGCCACACAACCCTTCTACTTCCTAGGAATGGTGAGAATGAAGAGGGACACAGTCAGAACGATCGGATTGAGAAGAATGATTTTCTCCCGTTCCAGCAAGAAAGAAGAGAAGAGTACTGGGAGCAGCGCTTCCGTAACATCTAGAAAAAGCTCAGTCACATGAAGGAAGCAGTGAGGGGTAAGACCCCAATGACAATGGATGCATTGGTGCAACAAACCGAGTCCCCATTCACTGCTGTGGTGTTGCATTTTTTCCTTCCCCAGAAATTCAGAATGCCTTAGATAGAGACGTTTGATGGGACTAAAGATCTCATGGACCACCTCAACACCTCCAAAAATCAGATGGAGCTATATGAATATCAGGATCCTGTGTGATGCCGAGCCTTTGCTATCATGCTCAAAGGTTTAGCCCTTGCTTGGTTCAACAGACTTCCCCCAACGTCAATCTCCTCCTTCAAGGAGCTCTCCATATCTTTTATTTCCCATTTCATAGGAGCCTGGACCTACCGAAAGCCAAGTTACCACTTGTTGAATGTAAAACAGGGACCCAATGAGAACTTGTGATCTTATGTGCAAAAGTTCAACTCAGAGTCAGAGTCCCTGAAGGTGGACGTTCTAGATGAGAAGTTTGCTATCACCGCCTTCATTGCTGGACTAGGAGTTCAGTCGCAGGATTTGATGTTTTCAATATCAAAGAACTCGCAGGCAAGCATGGCAGAGGTGCTGGCCAAGACAAAAAAGTATACTAATGGCGAGGAAACACTTCTCTCAAAGGTACGAAACTCATCTTCTCAAAAGGAAAAATGGAAGGAAGAAAAGAAGAGGGATTGAAGTCCCAGGAAAGAAAGACGACGAGATAGGTCTCTGAGGAGAGACAAGAATCGCTCCCTCAAGAGAAGGGGAGATGTCAGAGATCGCCTAGGTCCTCCACAGCTAGAGTTACAACTGAGGTATGTACCTCAGCAACTCACTCCTCTCATGGCCACAGTGTCCCAGATCTTGTACGAGGTACAGAATGAAAAGTTCTTAAGATGGCCCCCTCGAATTAAGGTAGATCTAGCAAAGAGAGACCCTATAAAGTATTGTGAATACCACAGAGACCATGACCACCACACTGACGATTGCATCCAGCTGAAGGAGATTGAATTCTTGATCCAAAGGGGGAAACTGCGTCGTTTTGTTGCCCATGATAACCAGAACCGAGCTCCACCACCTCCACCACCTCAGCAGCAAGCCTCTGTACAGCACCAACAACTCCTAGGAGAAATCAGAGTAATATTCGGA